CTTTTTATTTTACTACCTTAATAAAAATTAAGTAAAAAACATAATTAAAAGGGGAAAGAAAATCAAGAAATTTTGAGATATTGTTCCAGAAATCAAATCGGGCAAAATGGAAATCACAGGAAATCAATGGCAGATTGAATGGTTTTGGGATTTTAGTGAAAAAAAGAAAGTCACAAATCAACTTAAATTACAAAAGATCAAATCATCCCTAATTCAGGGACTCGATTAAATTACTTCTTCCAAAATTAAAGGGGATTGAACCCGTATATAAATCTGTTCCAACACAAATAGAAAGTACACAGCGAGAATAGAGAAAAATTCCACGCAGATTCTTGCAATTTTAGGTGTTAAAGGCTTTACTAGGTTTTTTTGTTATTATTCTGGAATTTAGGTTAGTAAATATATATATATATTATTTTAATTTTATCAAATTATTGAAGAATTTAAATCTTAAATTAAATCTTATTAAACTATTGAAAGGTTTGATAAATTTATAATAAATTTTATACATAATTTTATAATAAAATCTTATAAAATTACTGAAAGATTTGCATCAAAATAAATCTTATTAAATATTGAAAGATTTTATTAATTATTTTTTTAATAAAATATGTTAATGATCCGACAACGAAATCTATTTAGAGTCAAATATTAATTTTTATGAATACTTCTGAAGTGAAAAAATTATCTTAATTACTACCAAACTATTAAAGTAATTTTAAAATTAATTTACAATACTTAAATTATTTGATAATTATAAAAATATTACAAGCTTATATAAGTTGAAATCAAATTGATATCATTTTCTAAATGGGTGCTATAATCTTTTTTTTATATATAATTATATTTTTGAACTTAAATCTGATTTCGTATATTAGAATCTATCTTTTAAAAATAATCAAATCAAATTTAAATTTTTTTAAAATGACAAATTCAGTTAAATGATTAATCTTACTTAAACAAAAACAAAAAAATTCGAGAATAACTCTTTATATGTTTAACCATAAATTCATAAATTTATATGTTACGACAACATAGGGCAAGAAAGGAAGAAAGACAAAGAAGGCAATCTTAAAAGCACTGGACGAAGGGATTATTGCGGATACCTCCTTGTCAGATGAGGATATTCGCCACAGGGGACGAGTGCTGGCATTAGAGGAGGCCAAATCGACTTGGGAAATTGGCAAATTGGTAAGAATGACGGCAAGTTGTGGGGACGAGGTGGTTATTGAAAAGTTAAGAGAACTGGATTCCGTCGGTCGGTAGAAAATCTATATTTAAGGCACCAATTGGAGTTATTAAGAGGATTGATAAGACTAGGAAGGGTTTTATGGGGAGAGAGTGACCTACAAAAGAAGATGGCATAGGTTAAATGGACCGAGGTGTGTAATCCGAAAAGGCC